TTTTTTTCACTACAGAGTTATTTTTCTCTTCATCATTAAGTATCTTTATAAAGGTAATATGCATAAACCATCACATTTAATCTGGCAGCTGTCCTCCAATTTTTTTTAAGGTTTTTTTTTTTCCTTTATTGTACTTTAAGTTCTGGGGTACATGTGCAGAACACGCAGTTTGTTACGTAGGTATACACATGCCGTGGTGATTGGCCGCATCCATCACCCCATCATCTACATTAGGTATTGCTCCTAATGCTATCCCTCCCTTAGATCCCCAGACCCCAACAGTCACGGTATGTGTGATGTTTCCCTCCCTGTGTCCACATGTTCTCATTGTTCCACTCCCACTTGTAAGTGAGAAGATGCAGTATTTGGTTTTCTGTTCTTGTGTTCCTTTGCTGAGAATGATGGTTTCCAGCTTCATTCATGTCCCTGCAAAGGACATAAACTTATTTTTATGGCTGCATTGTATTCCATGGTATATATGTGCCACAGTTTTTAAGTCCAGTCTGTCATTGATGGGCATTTAGATTGGTTCCAAGTCTTTGCTATTGTGAACAGTGCTGCAATAAACATACCTATGCATGTGTCTTTAGAGTAGAGTGATTTATAATCCTTTGCGTATATACCCAGTAATGGGATTGCTGGGTCAAATGGTATTTCTAGTTCTAGATCCTTGAGGAATTGCCACACTGTCTTCCACAATGGTTGAACTAATTTACATTACCACCAACAGTATAAAAGCGTACCTATTTCTCCACATTCTCTTCGGCATCTTTTGTCTTTTGACTTTTTAGTGATCACCATTCTAACTGGTGTGAGATAATATCTCAATGTGGTTTTAATTTTAATTTCTCCAATGACCAGTGATGATGTGCTTTTTTCCCATATGTTTGTTAGCCACATGAATGTCGTCTTTTGCGAAGTGTCTGTTCATATCCTTTGCCCACTTTTTGTTAGGGTTGTTTATTTTTTTTCCTGTAAATTTGTTTAAGTTCTTTGTAGATTCTGGATATTAGCTCTTTGTCATATGGGTAGACTGCAAAACTTTTTCTCCCATTCTGTAGGTTTCCTGTTCACTCTGATGATAGTTTTTTTTTTTTTTTTTAGCTGTGCAGAAGCTCTGTAGTTTAATTAGATCCCATTTGTCTATTTTGGCTTTTGTTACCATTGCTTTTGGTGTTTTATTCATGAGGTCTTCACCCATGCCTATGTCCTGAATGGTATTGCCTATGTTTTCTTGTAGGGTTTTATGGTTTTAGGTCTTGCATTTAAATTTTTAATTCATCTTGAGTTAATTTTTGTATAAGGTGTAAGGAAGGGATCCTGTTTCAACTTTCTGCATATGACTAGCCAGTTTTCCCAGCACCATTTATTAAATAGGGAATTCTTTTGCCATTTCTTGTTTTGTCAGGTTGGTTAAAGCTCAGATGGTTGTAGGTTTGTGGCATTACATCCGAGGCCTCTGTTCTGTTCCATTGGTTTATATATCTGTTCTGGTATCAGCACCATGCTGTTTTGGTTACTGTAGGCTTGTAGTATACTTTGAAGTCAGATAGTGTGATGCGTCCAGCTTCCCTCCCCCCCAACTTAGAATTGTCTTGGCTATATAGCTCCTTTTTTGGTTCCATATGAAGTTTAAGGTGTTTTTTTTACAATTTTGTGAAGAAAGTCAGTGGTCGCTTGATGGGGATAGCATTGAATCTTTAGATTACTTTGGGCTGTATGGGCATGCTCACCATATTGATTCTTCCTAACCAGAAGTGTGGAATGTTTTTCCATTTGTTTGTGTTCTCTCTTATTTCCTTGAGCAGTGGTTTGTAGTTCTCTTTGAAGAGGTCCTTCACATCCCTTGTAAGTTGTATTCCTAGGTATTTAATTCTCTTTGTAGCAATTGTGAATGAGAGTTCACTCATGATTTGGCTGTTTGTCTGTTATTGTTGTATAAGAATGCCTGTAATTTTTGCACATTGACTTTGTATCCTGAGACTTTGCTGACTTTGCTGAAGTTGCTTATCAGCTTAAGGAGATTGTGGGCTGAGACAGTGGGGTCTTCTAAATATACAATCATGTTGTCTGCAAATAGGGACAATTTGACTTCCTCTTTACTTATTTTAATACCCTTTATTTCTTTCTCTTGCCTGATTGCCCTGGCCAGAACTTCCAATACTATGTTGAATAGCAGTGGTGAGAGAGGGCATCCTTGTCTTGTGCCAGTTTTCAAAGGGAATGCTTCCAGTTTTTTGCCCCTTCAGTATGATATTGGCTGTGGGTTTGTCATAAATAGCTTTTATTATTTTGAGATACATTCCATCAATACCTAGTTTATTAAGAGCTTTTAGCATGACGCGTTGTTGAATTTAGTTGAAGGCCTTTTCTGCATTTCTTGAGATAATCATGTGGTTTTTGTCTTTGATTCTGTTTGTGTGATGAGTTACATTTATTGATTTGCATATGTTGAACCAGCCTTGTATCCCAAGAAGGAAGCCGACTTGATTGTGATGGATAAGTTTCTTTATGTGCTTTTGGATTTGGTTTGACAGTATTTTATTGCGGATTTTTTCCTCGATGTTCATCAGGGATGTTGGCCTGAATTTTTTTTTTTTTTTTTTTTTTTTTTCAGTTGTGCCTCTGTCAGCTTTTTCTATCAGGATGATGTTTGCCTCATAAAATGAGTTAGGTAGGATTCCCTCTTTTTCTATTGTTTGGAATAGTTTCAGAAGGAATTTTACTGGCTCCTCTTTGTACCTCTGGTAGAATTTGGCTGTGAAACCACCTGGTCCTGGACTGTTTTTGGTTGATAGATTATTGTTGCCTCAATTTCAGACCTTGTTATTGGTCTATTCAGCGATTCAACTTCTTCCTGATTTAGTCTTGGGAGGGTATAATTGTCCAGGAATTTATCCACTTCTAGATTTAATGGTTTATGTGCAAAGAGGTGTTTGTGGTAATCTCTGATGGTAGTTTGTATTTCTGTGGAATCAGTGGTGATATCCTCTTTATCATTTTTTATTGCATCTATTTGATTCTTGTTTCTTTTCTTCTTTATTAGTCTGGCTAGTGGTCTATCTATTTAGTTGATCTTTTCAAAAAACCAGCCCCTGGATTCATTAATTTTTTGAAGGGTTTTTTTTGTGTGTGTGTCTCTATCTCCTTCAGTTCTGATCTGATCTTAGTTATTTCTTGTTTTATGCTGGCTTTTGAATTTCTTTGTTCTTGCTTCTCTAGTTCTTTTAATTTTGATGTTAGTATGTTAATTTTAGATCTTTTCTGCTTTCTCTTTTGGGCATTTAGTACTAAAAATTTTCCTCTACATACTGCTTTAAATGTGTCCCAGAGATTCTGGTACGTTGTGTCTTCGTTCTCATTGGTTTCAAAGAACATCTTTATTTCCTGCCTTCATTTAGTTATTTATCCAGTACTCATTCAGGAGCAGGTTGTTCAGTTTCCGTGTATTTTTGTGGTCTTGAGTGAGTTTCTTAATCCTGAGTTCTAATTTGATTGCACTGTGCTCTGAGAGGCTGTTATAAATTCTGTTCTTTTGCATTTGCTGAGAAGTGTTTTACTTCCAATTATGTGGTCATTTTTAGAATAGGTGCAATGTGGTGTCAAGAAGAATGTATATTCTGTTTATTTGGGGTGGAGGGTTCTTTCGATGCCTGTTAGGTCCACTTGGTCCAGAGCTGAGTTCAAGTCCTGGATATCCTTGTTAATTTTCTGTCTTGTTGATCTGTCTAATATTGACAGTGGGGTGTTAATGTCTCCCACTGTTATTGTGTGGGAGTCTAAGTCTCTTTGTAGGTCTCTAAGAACTTGCTTTATGAATCTGAGTGCTCCTGCATTGGGTGCATATATATTTAGGATAGTTAGCTCTTCTTGTTGCATCGATTCCTTTACCATTATGTAATACCCTTCTTTGTCTCTTTTGATCTTTGATGGTTTAAAGTCTGTTTTATCAGAGACTAGAATTGTAACCTCTGCTTTCTTTTTGCATTCCATTTGCTTGGTAAATATTACTCCATCTGTTTATTTTGAGCTTCTGTGTGTCTGCGTGTGAGATGGGTCTCTCGAATATAGCACACTGATGGGTCTTGACTCTTTATCCAGTTCGCCAGTCTGTTTCTTTTTATTGAGGCTTTTAGCCCATTTACATTTAAGGTTAATATTGTTATGTGTGAATTTGACCCTGCCATTATGATGCTGGTTATTTTTCCCATTGATGTACTTTCTTCCTCACATCAATGGTCTTTAAATCTGGTGTGTTTTTCCAGTGACTGGTACCAGTTGTTCCTTTCTATGTTTAGTACTTCCTTAAGGAGCTGTTGTAGGGCAGGCCTGGCGGTGTTCTTTAGGTTTTCTTTGCACTTATCTTTCTTTGGTAAATGAAAGCTCTCTTCTTTGTTTACAGGCCAGAAAAACTGAAAACAAACAAACAAACAAGAAAACAGGCTCTTTCACTTACTGGATGTTTGGCAAAATATTTTTTGGGGCCAAAATATTGGCATTACTGGTGAGCTTGTTAGGAATTCAGTAACTCAGACTTTATTTCAGATCTCCTGAAAAAATAGTCTGCATTTACGAGATGTCCAGTTTTGTGCACATTATAATTTGAATGGTACCTTCTAACTCAACATGTCTATCCTGTGTGAAAAATATAAACAACTGTGTCTTTTTCTTCTGAAAAATATACAGAACTCATTCTGTGTTATGTAAATATAGCACACAAAAATGCACACGTTAGTGTTTATGCCCTCTATTTTCCACTTTATCATCCAGACAAGTATCATTTATACACTGATGTTGTGGATATTATGCTACTCTCTTTTTTCAGAGTTAGAGAATATGTTATAAAATGCTTGTATATTGACAATTATTTTATTGGATAGTTTCAGCCATTCTTATAAGTCAGAACCAGTTCTATTCACTTTCTCATTTTACCTTGAGTCAAATGAAAAATTCTGCCCATACCCACTTTGTAAATATGTGTGTTTGTGTGTGTTTTCCAGGGACTGTTGACATTTAGGGATGTGGCCATAGAATTCTCTCTGGAGGAGTGGCAATGCCTGGACACTGCACAACAGAATTTATATAGGAATGTGATGTTAGAGAACTACAGAAACCTGGCCTTCCTGGGTGAGGATAACTTTAATATGGAATTCCTAATATAAATTAAAGTTTCATTACTTTTTTGTAGAATATGCTTATTTATGCTTTCAGATTTCTGTTTTCAAGAAAATCCTGGGGATTTGTCTGTTTAGAAAAGAATTTCTTCAAGATGTTTTATTTTGACCCAAACTTTCCATATTCCTGAGCTGATCTGTGTCCTTCACTTTAGTGGTAATTTTAGTAGTTTAGTGGCATAGAACATTGTTTCTCACACCTTAAAATCTAATTGCCATCATGAATTTTTGATTAAGTAGTAACAGGCAGTGAAATTAAGAATCTACAAAATTAAAATATTTCATAAATATTAAAAAATTTCTGTTATAAATTGGTACATTGGGATAAATTTATTAGAATATTATATCTGCTTTGCTGAGCACATTACTAAGTTGGTAATTGGAGAACATGAGCAAGATTCATGTTAGTTATTTTTAATAAAACAGGTATTGCTGCCTCTAAGCCAGACCTCATCACCTGTCTGGAGAAAGCAAAAGAGCCCTGGAAGGTGAAGCGACATGCGATGGTGGATGAACCCCCAGGTAGGTGAGAGTGAATACAACAGACGACATGGAGGAGAAGTCCAAAGTCAAGGAGAAAGCCAGTCTTTAAAGTGATTTGGGAAGCTGTTATCCAAAGGAGATAGTTTCTGAGAAGCCTGTAATTTTTTTTTTTTTTTTTTGAGACGGAGTTTCACTCATGTTACCCAGGCTGGAGTGCAATGGCGTGATCTCGGCTCACCGCAACCTCCGCCTCCTGGGCTCAGGCAATTCTCCTGCCTCAGCCTCCTGAGTAGCTGGGATTACAGGCACACACCACCATGCCCAGCTAATTTTTTGTATTTTTAATAGAGACGGGGTTTCACCATGTGGACCAGGATGGTCTCGATCTGTTGACCTTGTGATCCACCCGCCTCGGCCTCCCAAAGTGCTGGGATTACAGGCTTGAGCCACCGCGCCCGGCCAGAAACCTGTAATTAAAAAAAAAAAAAAATTATACTGTCACATAAGGGCATCTTCTGTCTTATGCTTATAAAATATCTAAGAATTCTACTTTTCCTTAAATGATCTTCCTTCCAGTTTACAGTGACAGCCAAAGTACCATTTATGGCATACAATAGAGTGTAAAATTTGACTTATTTTTTCTTGTTTTTGTGGAGAGACAGGTATCTGCATAATTTTGATATACTGTGTGTTAACCTTTTTTTTTTTTTTTTGAGATGGGGGTTTCACTGTGTTGGCCAGGATAGTCTCAATTTCCTGACCTCATGATCCACCCACCTCGGCCTCCCAAAGTGCTGGGATTACAGGTGTGAGCCACTGCGCCTGGGGTTAACCTACGTTTTAAGTTCTCTTTTTGCATCATGACTGAAATGCACGAGAGCAGTGGTTTCTGTTCTATTGATTTAAAAAAAAATTTCTGCACATTTCATCATGTTTTCACTACTACAGTCTTGAAATATTGTTTAAAATTATAAAGTGTCACGTCATTCTGCTTTGTTCTTTTTCCTCAAGATTGCGTTGGCTATTCAAAGTTTACTGTAATTTTATGTACATTTTAGGATTATATTTTTTATTACTGTGGAAAAATATTGGAATTTTGATAAGGAGCCTATTGACTCTATAGATCACTTTGCATATTATGGCAGTTTCACAATGCTTATTCTTTCAATAGAAATAATATTATTTTAAAATTTATTTTTGCCCTCTCTAATTTTTTTCATTGATACAAGTGTTCACTTAAAAGATTTATAAGTTTCTTGATTAAATTTGTTCTAAAATTGATTATTTTACTGCTATTGTAAATTAGATTTTTTTCTTTATCAAATAGTTTGTTTTAGTATATGGAACCATGACTTATATGTTAATTTATATTTTGCTAATTGAGTGTATTCATTAGTTTACACAGGTTTTAATGTAGTGTTTATGTTTTTTAATATATAAGATTACATAATCTACAAACAGCAACGTTTTACTTATTGGTCTTCGATATCAATGACTTTAAATTTTTCTTTTCACTATTTGTTCTTCCACATACTTTCAGTGATATGTTAAAATAGAAACATTGACAATAAGAAATAATAGTTTTGCATTGGTGTCTATAAATTTGAATGAGCAAACAGCTCTCCAGGTTTTTATAAACTGATTTGAGAAAGTAAAAATCTATTTTTGTTGAGTCTGCCAAGTGATAGAATGCCCTCTGGGTTTGTAGGGAAGAGGGGTTGTATAGCTTGGTCTTAAGGCTGCTGGGTTTGCACACAGGTCCACCGTTAGCTGTCTTGTTAAAAGGGGCTTGGATAGTTGTAATTCTCATTTAACTTTTGGGCAGAGTGAGTATTCTTCAGCACTTTGCTCTGCAGGGCAGATTCAAGGGCAGGTTTCTGCAGTCAGGTCTGCATATGGTGGGCTTTATATCAATATGTGGATGAGCATGGCTTTCACTGAGTACAAAAGAGGTTTTTCCCAGGTCACTCTGAGTTTGTACATAGGCAGAACTGGTCATGAACTAAGTCATGGAACTGCTTCAGGGATCACAGTAAAAGTCATGGTCTGCAGTCCTGCTGGATGGCTATAAAATGGGGGACTTCATCCAGGCCTCTGGAAGAACAGGACCTCTCTCAGACTGTGGCTGGGAAAAGTTAGGGATAGTTATAGATTAAGTTCAAAATTCTCAGTGGAATCAAGTTATGTGGAACATTTTCTTATCTGTAGCCAAAAATGGTAGTCTGGTAGTTTGCCACCTGAATGAGTGCCTTCCTTCAATCTTGGGCCTTAGCAGAGTTTCACACCTCCCTTCCTGAATCTCAGAGCCCTCTTAAGGCACTTATTTTTGAGACGGAGTCTTGCTACGTTACCCAGGCAGGTCTTAATATTTTTACCAGAAGCAATTCTCCAACTTTAATGTACCGTGTAGCTGTCATTTCAGGTGGGATCCATGATGCCTGCTTCTCTCATAAAGGCATTTTTGTCAGGAATGGCTGACAGATTTTCTTGCTGTCGGGTGATAAGCAAATAGGGAAGCCCCCCATTTTTTTAAAAATCTTATTAATATCACTCTCCATGTAAATTTTTACTTTCTATTTTTTACTTCAAATTTGTCTGTAATTCTAGATTCATTTAGGGCAATATACTAAAATTTACATGTTGTACCTGAATTAGATAGTATGTAGGCAGGCAAAAAGGAATTAGAGAATTTTCAACCATTTTTGTCAGCCTATATCTGAATAAAAACATAATTTATTTCCCAAATATTTGTTTTATATATGAGGCTCTGTTAAATATATACATAATTTAGCAATGTAAGGCTATTTTTTTGCTTCTAAACTTGGATTACAGTAGTTTTAGTTTGTGAAAAATGCATGTATTTAAAACATAAAAATTTACACGTTTTTCTTTTTTATATTTATGCATATACATATTTTTAATTTTTATTTTATATATATGTATTTTTTATTGCACTTTAGGTTCTGGGTTACATGTGCAGAACATGCAGGACTGTTGCATAAGTATATACATGGCAATGTGGTTTGCTGCCTCTATCCCTCCATCACCTATATCTGGCATTTCTCCCCGTGTTATCCCTCCCCAACCTCCTTATCCCCTGCTGTCCCTCCCCTCTTCCGCACCAACAGACCACAGTGTGTGATGTCCCCTCCCTGTATCCATGTGTTCTCATTGTTCAACTCTTGCCTATGAGTAAGAACAGGCGGTGTTTGATTTTCTGTTCTTGTGTCAGTTTGCTGAGAATGATGGTTTCCAGGTTCATCTATGTCCCTACAAAGGACACAAACTAATCATTTTGTGTGGCTGCATGGTATTCCATGGTGTATATGTGCCACATTTTTTTTTTTTCCAAAGAGGAAACAAGAAAAAACAAAGAGAGATATAAAATGAGAGGAGAAGTTATACCATTAAGAGTACTATCAAAGTAAGTCTATGGTTTAAATTCTGTTGTCATTGGTTTAACAGTCCAATGTGCCACATTTTCTTTGTCCAGTCTATCATCGATGGGCATTTGGGTTAGTTCCAGGTCTTTGTTATCGTAAACAGTGCTGTAATGAATATATGTGTGCAAATGTCTTTATAATAGAATGATTTATAGTCCTTTGGGTATATATACAGTAATGGGATTGCTGGGTCAAATGGAATTTCTATTTCTAAGTCCTTGAGGAATCACCACACTGTCTTCCACAGTGGTTGAACTAATTTACATTCCCACCAACAGTGTAAACGTGTTCCTATTTCTCCACATCCTCTCCAGTATCTCTTGTCTCCATATTTTTTAATGATTGCCATTCTAACTGGCATGAGAGGGTATCTCAATGTGGTTTTGATTTGCATTTCTTTAATGACCAGTGATGCTGAGCATTTTCTCATATGTTTTTTTGGCCTCACATATATCTTCTTTTGAAAAGTATCAGTTCATGTTCTTCTCCCGCTTTTGAATTTTTTTTTTTTCTTGTAAATCTGTTTTAGTTCTTTGTAGATTCTGGATATTAGCCCATTGTCAGATAGTAGATTGCAAAACTTTTTTCCCATTCTGTTGCTTGCCTATTCACTCTAGTGATTGTTTCTTTTGCGGTACAGAAGCTCTGGAGTTTAATTAGATTCCATTTGTCTATTTTGGCTTTTGATGCCAATGCTTTTGGTGTTTTAGTCATGAAGTCCTTGCCTATGCCGGTGTCCTGAATGCTTTTTGCCTAGGTTTTCTTCTAGACAAGAAGAAAACTTTTTTTTTTTTTTTTGAGGCGGAGTTTCACTCTTGTTACCCAGGCTGGAGTGCAATGGCGCGATCTCAGCTGACCGCAACCTCCGTCTCCTGGGTTCAGGCAATTCTCCTGCCTCAGCCTCCTGAGTAGCTGGGACTACAGGCACGCGCCACCATGCCCAGCTAATTTTTTGTAGTTTTAGTAGAGACGGGGTTTCACCATGTTGACCAGGATTGTCTTGATTTCTTGACCTTGTGATCCACCCGCCTCAGCCTCCCAAAGTGCTGGGATTACAGGGTTGAGCCACCGCGCCCGGCCAAGAAGAAAACTTTTATGGTGTTAGCTCTTATGTTTAAGTCGTTAATCCATCCTGAGTTAATTTTAGTTTAAGGTGTCAGGAAGGTGTCCAGTTTCTGCTTTCTGCACACTGCTAGCCAGTTATCCCAACACCATTAAACAGGGAATCCTTTCCCCATTGCTTGTTTTTGTCAGGTTTGTCAAAGATCAGATGGTCGTAGATGTGTGGCGTTGCCTCTGAGGCCTGCGTTGTATTCCCTTGGTTTATATCTCTGTTTTGCTACCAGTACCATGCTGTTTTGATTACTGTAGCCTTGTGGTATAGTTTGAAGTCAGGTAGCATGATGCCTCCAGCTTTGTTCTTTTTGCTTAGGATTGTCTTGGCTATGCAGGCTCTCTTTTGGTTCCATATGAAGTTTAAGGTGTTTTTTTCCAGTTCTGTGAAGAAGGTCATCGGTAGCTTGATGGCGATAGTGTTGAATGTATAAATTACCTTGGGTAGTATGGCCATTTTCACAATATTGATTCTTATTAACC